CTAAACCCCACTCACTCCTTGTTCTGAAACTGTTCCCAAATTCACAGCCTCTTAAATCCCAGCTGCCCCCTTTGCCCCATCACGACACATCCCAACCAACCAGAAGATTCCGGCGCAGCATCACCCGGAGAACCTGGGCACTGCCTCTGTTCCCCCACTGCTGCTTTTCCACGTGAGCTGGGCAGCACAAACCAGCCCTGCCAGGCTGTGCCACCTCACTGCTCCCTTGCTTTCCTGGTGGATATCACGTTTCTGCAATACAGAGCCAAACAATCCTCTTCCCCTATGGGGAAAATGGAGCAAAACCAAGCACAACTAGATTTTGAAGGTGCTTTCCTTTAGGCTTCTCTGTCACACCTATAAAATCTCCTCCTGCCAGCTCTTCATCCTGCTCAGCTCCTCCAAATACTTCCTTAGGACTCATTTATTGCTGACTGATCCCACTTTGCCCCCTTGGCCTCCCAGGCAGTCCAGCCTTGGGGGTTTATTTGTTGCTGATGAGCTGAAGCAGCTCCGCTGAGGTTCAGGGTGTGCAGGAAGCAAAGGCTGGGCTTTACACCAAGGCCCGGCCTCACAGGCAGCTCCTGGTGTCAGGTTCTGGTTTTAACTGTGTCAGGATCAGGTGGAAATTCAAACATAATGGTCGAGGTGTTGTGTTTATGCCCAAAAAGGGGGATGTTTGTTTGCACAGGGGTTTCGTGAGACACAAATCACTCAATAGCTAAAAATCTGTGAATCAACCTGTTAATGTCACCTCCCTTCCCAAAAAGCTGTGCCTAAACCTGCCCCTAAAGGCCTGAGCAAGGGCAGAACTGTGAGTATCCTGAAGAGGATGAGCTTTGTGTCCCCGCTGTCCCAGGGCAGGTGCTGGTCTCTGTCATCCCATGAAATCCTGGAATGTGAACTTCCAGCTCGGGAAGGAGGATCCAGCTCGATCCACGAGGGTCCATCCAACCAGGGGGATGAGTTTAGTCGAGGTTAAACGTGGTTTCAAAGCACTTTGAAGGGGAAGATCTTCCCCTGCTCAGCATTACAAGTCAGGTGAGTGTGTTGGAGGTGCTGGGGCTGAACAACAAATGGGGAATTCATTTCCCTGTTTCCTATTCCTTTTCAAATGAGGGGTGTCCAGAAGCACCACTGGGAGTCCTGGAATACAGATCAGCTTTGGAATAGAGATCAGCTTTGGAACACAGATCTGCTTTGGAACCAGGCTGGTTACAGATCCTGCCTCCAGATTTCAGATCAGAGGGAATTTCTCCTCTAAAACATAGATTTTTCCCAGGCCTTCAAATGCTCCAGGGATGTGCAAACGCCTCCATGTGAATCCATGACCCAGTTCAAGCCAGTTGGGGGGTCTCAAGGAGAAGACAAGGCAGCACCACGGGAATTCCTGCCATTCCTCAACGACAGCATCACCCCTGCTGGAAATAATCCCAAAATACCATCACTCTGGTGGGATGAGTAGAAAAAAAAGCTGCTTGGAGCAGGGAGGGACGAGCACCTGTCCCTGAGGAACAGCCTGAGATGTCTCTCCATCCTCTGGGAGCAAGGAGAGCCACCAGGAGCGTGGTGACATCAGCCAGCTGGAATGTGTCCCCTTTGTGGAGCACAGGAAAATTAATGGATGTCCCAGGAACAGCTGAAATAGGGGATTTCTCATGATCAGGCTTAAAAGGATAAAATATCTTCCCTGGGTGAACCGTGGGGGATTCTCAGGGAGGAAGAGGCACCTTCTCAGCACACCTTGAATGCAGCAAACATTCCCCAGCTCCTGTGAGCTCAATACAAGACCCAGGGGTCAGGAAGCACAAGAAAGGGCAAAAATGTCTCCTTTCCACAGGGAAATGGTGGGGGTTTTTTTGGCACTGAGAAGTTGTCCATAAAACTGACTTCCCAAAAAAATGGCTCCACGTTTGACATCTATTTTTCTTTCAGGGAAACAAGGACACAAGTCCTAACCTGCACGAGGAAGCCAGGCTTGGATGTTCTCCTCTCCCAACACCTCTGCAGCAATTTATTGCTGGGAATTCAGAGGCTTCTGTAGCTGAACAGCTGCTGGATACCGGGAATATGGGAACTGTATCCAAGGGCTGGAGCCCCTCTGCTCTGGAGCCAGGCTGGGAGAGCTGGGAATGTTCTCCTGGAGAAGGGAAGGCTCCAGGGAGAGCTGAGAGCCCCTGGCAGAGCCTGAAGGGGCTCCAGGAGAGCTGGAGAGGGACTGGGGACAAGGCCTGGAGGGACAGGACACAGGGAATGGCTTCCCAGTGCCAGAGGGCAGGGTTAGATGGGATATTGGGAAAGAATTCCTGGCTGGGAGGGTGAGGAGGGGCTGGAATGAATTTTCCAGAGAAGCTGTGGCTGCCCCTGGAAGTGTCCAAGGCCAGGCTGGACAGGGCTTGGAGCAACCTGGGCTAGTGCAAGGTGTCCTTGCCCAATGGGATTGGGAATCATTTCTGCC